TTTATCCCGTTTGCAACCGTTCCTATAGAAATATTTAAATTCTTTTACAGCCGCCGAAAGCTGTCTTGCCAAGGAAGAAGAATCTTATTAAGTTTTAGGCCCGTGAATTACCGAATAATCGATTTTAGTTTTTTAATGTTGTACGAAAATCCAGGATTGAAACAACAGGCAAGGTCGTGCAGTTTAAGGAAAATATCGTGACAACAGATTGTGCCGCTTGACCCCACATTCCAAGGAACAAAAGGGTATTGCCGGACTGCCGAATTGGGAGATTTCATTCCGACCATTTAGATAAGTATAATTAACCGTAATGACTTGAATGAGTTACAGATAACAATCGCCGATTAAGTCTGGCTACATTCGTTAGGTGCGCTTTAAAAAATTTCAAGTTTGACATCGGTCCCACTACGGGAAACAAAGTAACAAACAAAGCAGAGGCGAACCGGCTCCGAACAAGGCGGATGTATCGGCCATCAAGGTAACGGATGTTAGTCGACTACTTTGAAAAGAGCAAAATAATCAGCGAAGGGTACCATTCAGCACTTTTGGACCATCTGCATGCAGAAATCGCGGAGTAACGGTCTGGATTAGCGAAGAAGAAAATCTTGTTACACCACGATAATGCATCGATGCTTCGTGCTGTCTGTTGTAACATACATTAGTCGATTTTCAGTTCCAATTTATTTCTTAGCCTAATTTTGTTCCGCTAGACCTCCCAAATCATAAGTTTATCTGTAGGAAAAATGTTAGAAACTACACTATGATTTTGAACCCATTCTCAGTTGTATCCCGCCAGCGGTTTCACTTTGACCGCCAACGGAATGGAAGTGCGAAGTAAGTACGAAGGATACGAATCAGTACGTGTAAACAGAAAGGCACGAGGAGCATTCGATATGAACAAAGAAGGTGAGAATGAAAAATCTATGACAAAATGCGGCGTAAAACGAGTGAAGTAACAATGCGTGAAGGGAAAAATACGAAGGAGAACCCAAGGATTATAGATGGGAGCATGGAAGAGACGTAATGGAAGTGGAGATAAGGCGTGAAAAATACAGATGTAAATAAAAAAGTGTAAGGGAAAAGGAAGAAGCATGCAAAAAGCGCGTACGAAAGACATTTGAAGTAAGTGGATGTGAGGTAAGGGTGCATGAAGGCTAGGGAGAGGCGTGACAAAAGTGTATTGGAAATCGTGCAGACGTGGAAAGCGCGTAATTGAAACGTGAAAACGTGAAAGGTGGTGTCGTGTTAAGGGTAGAGACGTAAAAAAGGAACAAGGCGCGAAGAAAAGAAGAAAGCAAGACAGAAAAAGGTGTGAACAATAGTAGACGTAACGAGTTCAAGAAATGAGGGGGTGCAGGGCAAATTTTAGATACGCGCCAAGGAGGTGTGAGTAGGATAGATGTGTAGAAATGAGGTGCGAAAGGAAAATGAGTACGATGAAAGATAGAAAGATGATAGAAGAGGACGTGAAAGAAAAAAAAACACAAAGTAAGGTATGTAGCAGTAGTAAACGTTACAGTTGTAAATGAAACAGTGTGAAGGGAAAAGGAAGAGGCATGCAAGAATCGTGATGGATAGAAGTTTGAAGGAAGTATATATGAAGTGAGACGAATGATGGAGGCGTAAAAGGTGCGTAATCAAAGCGCGAAAGATGCACCACCATCAGAAACTTTAATGAAGGTAAGGAAACGTAGTAAATGGAGGCGGTGTGAATAAGACGTGGAGCAGAGGTGAAGCTGGCGTGGACGGTGTCTGCAAAAGGCGAGAAGAGGATGTCAAAAGGCGAAAAGGAAGAAGAATGGTCCGTAAAAATAAGGTGCGAACTATTCGTGAAGAAAGTCTGTAAAGCAGTGGGTGCGTAACAAATGCCTAACGTGAGGGTAAAAAACGACTGATGTGGAGAGATGTGAAGGACGGACGTGCGGAAGAAAAATGATTGAAAAGAGGTGACGTAAGGGAATTGCGTGAAGGAAGATGAAGATATGAAATCGCCCAGAAAGACGAATCACGTAGGTCTGTAATGGAAGTATGAAGGAGATTTGAAGAATATAGATGTGAAGAAAGAAGTGCCAAGGGAGCAGCTTTAAAATGCAATGAGGCGTGAAATAAGGAAAGACGGAGAAGTTAGATGTGAACAAAAGAGGAGACGTAGCAAAGCGCCCAGGAGACAAATAAGAAGTCGGGAAAAGTTTGTAATGGAAGTATAAAGGAGAAGTGAGAAGAATAAACGTAAAAATAAGAGGTGTGAAAAGAGTTGTTGATGTCAAAGGCGAAGAGGCCTTAAGGAAAGAGGCATGTAGGCAGGACACGTATAAAGGTGTCAAGAAAGAATCCTTTAAGGAAGGAGGCGTGAAAGAGCCGTATGTGTGAAGGAAGAAGGTGTAAAGGACGCATGGAATGAATGTTGACGTAAAAAACTTGAAGGAAGGTAAGCAGAAATGAGTTGCGAATGAAGAGGGTGTGATTAACACTTGAAGGACCGTAAGAGTGAAGAGGGCGTGAATGACATGAAAAACGAGAGAAGATGGCGTCAGGAAGACGAAAACGTGACGGAAAATGGCGAGAAATAGGTAAGACATTGGGGAATGCTAAAGAACTTGATGGTTTGAAACTAAAGAGTGGGAAATTGAAGGAGAAAGCGTGATGGAGATACGAAGCACGAGCCTAGATTTTGAGGCTCGAAGTAAATGTGAAAGAAAAGTGGCAGAAAATATATGGAATTCAGGCGAAGAGAATATGTATTAGAAAATGAGACGTGGCAAAGTTAAGCACGTGGGAGACGGGAAGGAGTCACGAGGAAGACCTGAAGGGTATGTGGAATGGAGTGGAGGATATGTGAACCACACATAATGGGTGCGTGAAAAGGGGAGCATAAAGGGGCACTGAAGAAAATAGGTATGGGGAAAGGAGCCGTGAATGGAAAAAGTGTGAAAGGGCAAAAACAGGCGGAAGGAAGGGATAGGAGGCGTGGAAGGGGCAAAGGAGGTGCGATAATAAGGAACAGCGCGTTAAGTAGAAGAGCTGAAGAGGTCGTCAAGGCAAATGATAGAAACGTAACATGCGTAACTAAAGTGTAAAGGGGGATAGACTTGAAGATAAAGGAGGAAACGGAGAAACAGTGTGTGACGAGAAGATATGTCAGGGAACAAATTTGCAAATCAAAGAGGAGAGAAGCGTAGGTAAACGAGGTGCTCATGAAAGAAAGCAAGAAAGTGTAAATGGAAAGTGTGCGTGTGAGTTGTGAAGGAACGTCTAGTAGAAGTGAGAGTGCTGGAGGACGTGAATGGTGACTGAAAAAGACGAGAGGGCGTCAAGAAGTTGCAAAGTAGGTTTGAGGAATCACGATAAAAGGAGGCAAGAAGGGAAAAGTTATAAAGAATGGTCATGGTAGGTGATGCACGAATCGCGCAAAGCATTGTTGTGAGGAATACGCGTGGAAGAAGGAGGAAGGAGCGCGAAAAAAAGTGAGATGTAAGCAAGAAAGGAGGAAAGAAGAAAATTTAATTTAAGTTAAGAAAGAGTGGAGACCTAAGACGTGTTTTGGGCACTTGAAGGAACTGTGAATATATGGACAGTGGCGTAGGCAGGAATTTGGCTTGGGAGGGGTTGATGTGCGTACGTTGGATAGCAACCCTCTTTAGAAAGCAATGTCCAAGGGGGAGAGGGGGTTACAGCGCCAAAGGACTAATAGCCCCCCCCCCCCCGATACGTGAATAAATATGACGAGAATAGAGACGAGATGTAAGGAAAACAGCAGCTCGCAACTCTTGTGAAAAAGACGTAAAATATAGGTAGAAAGGAGGCATTAAGGATAGAAGTGTGTGTAGGACACTACGATGGGACAAATAATGCGTGAAGGAAATATGAAATGGAAGGCGTTGTGTGGCTGTGGAGGAAAAAATTATGGAAGGCAGTGTAAAGGATGTGTCCAGGAGGGAGGTGTAAAAGAAGAGGTCCGAGAAGATCAAGTACGAAATAGTCTGTTTAGAGGGAGGAAAGAAGCGGTAAAGCAAGATAAAGAAAGGAGGTATGTACCACGTGTTAAAGAGACTGGAAGAAAGTATGAAGGTCTGAAATAAACGTGAAAGGTATATATAAGAAAAAATGTGTAATAGGGAAAGGGGTGAAGAATTGTGACCAATCCGTAGGCATAAAAACTATGTGAATGAGGCATAAAAGTAGAAGACTGAAAGAAGCAAGCATCTGAAACGGGCCGCCAAGGATATCTAAAACGGAAGAGGATGAAGGGAAGAAAGGTGGTATAGTCGCGATAAAAGCAAGTGAATGCGTCAAATTGACATCTTTTACATTTGCATTATGGGTTTCGAATGAACAGTTTTGGTGAACGGAAGACCTTAAAAAGCTCTATCTGTGCCGTGTACGGACAGCCGTTATGATTTGATTAACAACCTCTCACCATGAAGACTTTCAGTTCTTAATCATATTTTTGCACTATACAGTCACATTTTGCCTACGTATTAAGTACTATGTAATACTGTTCGATATGGTAGTTGGGGGTGAAGAAAGCGGAAGTGGGTTATCTGTAATTAATTTCACACAGTAATATGTCAACAAAATTTCTAAAGATTGAAGGAGAAGATGGTTGAGGCATCTGCAAACCACCCTAATGATCTAATTGCAGTTTTAATCTTCAAAAAGGGCTCTTCCTGATAAAGACAGGCATAAAAGGTGATCATTAGAAAATTGAGTTTCGAGAGCACCTTCGAAAAGTTTTTATTTGGTGATGAAGACAAGTTTATTAATCTAGCACGATCCGCGAGGATTTAAAATAAAAACGGGAAGAGGAGATATTTCAGTGTACTAAAAAGTATGTTATCTCTTTTATTGAAATAATTTGAACATATGGCAGTAGCATGATTTACCTTCTAAAAGCTAGTTATGGATATTTGAGAACGGGGTTGAAAAGGTGGGATGACGCCGGCGCCCTGTACAATACTGGGGTGTGGCGGGCGCCGGCTCACTTTTGTATCTCAGTTCTTCGTGAAGCACATCCCGAGTAGAAACATATCACGCTCGCTCGACGTTCGCCGTCGCCGTCGACTTCAATCCTGATTGCCCTGTTGCCGTCCAGGTCACTTTGAGGTTAGGTCGGTCAAATTGGGTGAGTGAATTTGTGGTTGTAATATAGTTTACTGTTCGAGAAACGATTTGCACCAATGAGACCATATAATCCGAAACCAAAAGCTTTGGCGAAGTTTGAAAAAAGCTCAGTTCGAACTTTACGCAATAACAACTTATACTATTGTCTCAATGTATTTGGCTGGCGCATCTTATTTTTCCAATTCGCATACGCAAAATTCCTAATATTGTTTTCGAGTGAAAAACCAATACAATACCGAATTGATAACAAAAATGTAATAACTGTGAATTTAACGCGATCTACTAATAGCGCGAGCAGATGGTAGCATAATAAATACGCGGGCGATCGTTTAAATTGTTTACCATTCGCGATAAGTACCCTGATAACAATTGGTAAAATCGGAATATTAAACATTAACACCTGCTGCATATTTAAATATCATCGCGGTAAATTTGGTGGTGGAAAGTCATTGACGTCGCGCCTCCCCTGAAATTTAGGACCCATTTTCAGTTAATCAACGCATTCGAATTTTCAGAAATTCATTTTAAAGAACTTTAAGAAATAAAAACTTCCTATCATTTAATGTTTCCGATTTTCCTTCGCAAGAACTTCCAAAAAATTAAAATTAATGGAAAATTGTAGCTCGGAGCGTTTCCTTTCCTCCTTATCTTTGTCCTTGTTTTGTAGATGATTATTAAAAAAAAAGAAGGGAAAACGAACTCATTACCAAAATAATATTAAGTCGACCGTTTTTGTAATCCTTCCGAGTCGAACATATTCCGCGCCCCCTCAATTTCGAAGTCAAATCGCCTAGAACAAGGAAATGAATTCGATGTCTTGCAATACACTTACGAATCGTTGAGTACGACGGGATACGGAAGTTCAATATTTGCTTCCCTTTGGAACATGCCGTGCGATCAGTTTACTCGTAATTCGGTTTCGTGTACTATTTGATGCCGCTTCCCCGATGTTTGTATAAAAGATTTTTCAAATAATAGATGGATAATTAATTTATAAAGTTCTCAAATTGTATTACAATGAGTGTAACGGTATGATTTAAAATTACAAGTAAGGGAAGTTAAATCGCTCGATTCCCTTTCCATAAATAAACATTTATTAAATTTGGACAAGTAGCGTGTACTTTCTTTTCGATTTATTATTCCCGGTATACATTTACCTACATTATGTACTGGTAATCCGTGCGTCGAACGAAAAACTGGGGATTAAAAATTGTGTGGCCAGTGATGTGTTTTTATGGGCATTGTGACTAAAATTAATAATTTGCATTTTTAGTATTATTTTATCAATTAACGATCGCCGGTTAATAACTCAATGCAGCACTAATGGACGGGCATATGCATATCTTGGGAATCATTTTCCGAATATTCAAAAAATACAGAGGAAATTCCTATGAAAACACATTAGGGGTGATTTGCGTTTGTTTAATTTTCATGAATTTGAAAATTTAACTTCGTGTGCATGAATTAAGTTAGCTTCTGGCGCATTTAAATAACACGGTTAAGTAAACGCCGTGTGTTTTCTAAAGTTCATAGTCAATTGTGTTTTTTCCTTTGAATTTGTAGAATGTGGGCACAATTACATACACTCCGCGTATAATTTGTTTTTGTTTCCTCTCAATGGTAATTTGTCAATTCCTACCATCCTTATGTTTCTGTGAGTTTTCGCTTCGCAATACTCTAATGGATGAATACAATTTTATTTAATGTATAAAAGCCTCTAGACAATTGAAATTGCTTTGTTGTATTGCTTGTTTCACAACTGAGCTTTCGTATATTTTATAAATCAATTTTGAAGATAAACGAAATATTTCATATGCACAAATCACGTAAATTTATTGTCCTATCATTCTTCGGTTTAAGTATATTCGGTGCTACCGTGAAGCTTAGAGAAAGCTGTACAGTATTAATTTCTTTTCCATTTTTAAGAATTAAGCTTAGGGTATGTTGACGGCCAAAATTATTTTTGCTTCATTAACTTAAATCTGAATGCTCTAAAGCTTTGCCTTCTTTAAACACTAAGAATAAATTAGAAATAGGGAAAAAATATGTTTCGTTATAACGTCATATACTATAATTATTAAGTACCTATCCTGCATCCAAAAATTGTATCTGAAGTAAATTTAAATATTTTGTATTATAAGTCGACAGTGAGTTTGAAAGCTTATTTAAAAGATACTAATAATTCATGATAGTACCTAGGCAGTTGTTAATTAATAACACCATATTGTCAGTTACGAATGCTATTATTTTACAAATGTAATCTAAAAATGGAACGAAGATCAACTTACTGACTATTTACAAGTCTAATACAAAAATTTAATAATATAATGGAAAGGAGATCAATGACCTCACTTGTGAACGGCCTGCGAACACAATTCATATGCCCGAAACGTTTAATAATCCGTCTTTTATGAATAATGAACACCCTATAACTGATGTAGTGCATAAGGACGTATACTTCATTTAACCGCTTTAGCAGTATCGAGACGAATATGATTATGGTCCGCTGAAATAAAAATCTTGAACGGAGTGTGTAAACTTGCCTAAAATGTATAGCGAAGTAAAGCAGATTTAGTGAAAGAAACGACCGAATTTGTTGCATTCCATTACCTATCCATGTCAACTCTTTATTTGGCCATGAATAGAATATATTCATAAATGAGGAGACTAAGGATCATTGAATAATTAGATTGGTTATTAATAGAGTCACATCCTCCCTTAAATGTTTACACTTCATTGTTAGTATGACTGGAAAATTATAATTTCCACGAACATTTAGAGTGATAAATTTTAAATTTTTTTAATAAGGTTATAGGCATAGGATGATGTGAAGGACGATTATACAGCACTATTGCTAACTTTCTTAGTTGTAGAGTTATTAAGACGCTTAATAATCAAAATCGTGTATTTTTCTCATTTTTCAAATAAAAACAAACATGTGACATTTCTATGGATCACCCTGTATATGTTATTATACCATATGGCAGTTTATTACATTCTCTACAAAAGTTCTTAATACACCATACACAAACTACTTCAAAAATAACTAAAATTTTTCAATTATTTTAATTTCGATCTAGTTATCCATGAAAACGATAATACATAATATAAGTAAGTATATAAAACAAAAACTGGAACAAGGACTTGTTATAGTAGGTTGTTAACAAAACAGGAATAATAGGTGAAATAGGTAATACATTGCTGTGTGTAATGGCCTGGCCAAAATGAAACATATGCAAAACACCTTAAACCTAGCTCTTTCCCAGGACATATCTGAATCCTGGCACAATGAGAAACTCTAATCCTGACTTAAAATTCCAAATTTTACGGCAAATAGTGGCCGCGATCAAATTCCAGAAGGAATTACTGGAACAAATTTTGAAAACACCTGAAATTAACTTTAGGTACGGGTTAACAAAATTAATCAAAACTATGCATGAAACCTTTAGCTCGATCGTTAAAAGGGTTCGAATAAACACACGCTTTACATGAACACAAATCAAATTAACCATAAAATTCTAATAATCAATGTGGACTATAACACGGTCCGTTTACACACCTCGCATAAGCGTTCGATCACAATTAAACAAAATAATAAAATCCTCAACTACTTACAGTTATCTATTAAAATCCCAACAATCTGGACAGAAAAACACTAATTGCGAGAGAACAACGCACTACTCTTATTTTCTTTAACTTATCTTCTCTTCAGGTAACAGGAACGTAATTTTACTCCAACGAATTAAACAGTAGACAGTAGACGAGAATTTCAATAAAACTGCTACACCCAACTTTTACGTCTTTCTTGAAAACTTTGGCACGAACTCGACTGATCTGACTATAACGCAACTTTTACTTGACGAACAACACAAAACATAACGCAGAACGCGAATCTTCTAAGCTTTCAACGAACAACACCCCGGCCTCGAAATTGGCAAAAGGCCTCGTTCTTACACCGACTTCAGTATTTAACGTGCCTCTCCTACATCCAAGATTCGAGAAACTTTCATCCGATTAAGGGAACGTAGCAACACGACAACCAACCAAAACTCTGCTTCTTGACGCTCCTTAAGTCACGTATCAAAATTTTACGCAGAATTCTATCTCAGATAAAAAATTTTTACGAAAGACACGCAGTTTTTCGCCCGATAAAAAGCATTCTTATTTTATTTTTCTATTTTGCTTTTATTTTTGAGTGGGCTGCTCTACTAACCCAACCCACTATACATTTACACCGTGTCCGAGCCCGGATTTGAACCAGGCACCACAGTCCAGCTTTAACTGAACTGTGCCACACGAGCCGGCATCGATAAATTACACCAACCTTGTAACAAAAGTAATCAAAGTGCCCATAAATTAAAACAGAACTCTCGCTTAAATGATTTAACAAAGCAAAAATTGATGACACAAATAAACTATAAATTGCCCTACATTTAACAATTCTAGGAAATAATCTATTACAAGGAAAAAATAAACCACTTGGATGATACAACTAAACACACAATAATCGTTCCGCTCTTAAACATAAAACCCCACCAGACTAATTAAATAATTTGAAAGGAAAATTTGCTTTTGAACTTCGGGTCGCCACCTTTCAGCTCAAAAGGGCGTGTTCTGTAAATCTGTAACAGATAAAAGCACAACAAACAAAAAAGGGTTAGGTAATCACGCGGCAAATAAAATATTGCGAAATAGCAATGCTAACGTCTGACACGGAGGATAATCATACACTAAAACTGTAATTAATACTCAATATGAATCAATAATTCAAATGACTTCGGACAAAGTTTCGGTATCTTCAAAAAGTTCTTTACAAAGTGCCACGCTACTAATATGAAGGCTACAATGCAATGAAACTAACAGAAATGAATATCGTAGCAACAAAAGGGATCGTCAACAACATTGGTTTTTGGACGTAGCGAAGCAAATAGCATAAGTAAAATCGGATATATCGCAGCAATTTACAAGGTCGTTAACCTCCAAAGGTTTTGTAATATACTG